AGCTCATACGGAAGGGTGCTGTCTGCATATCCAAGAATAGGAGCTGAAGTAAGGTGCTGTTTCAAGATGGTAAATGCTCTATCTTGATCATCTCCCCAATGCCAATCTTTCTGTGGTTTCGGTTTTCCTTTGCCTTTCTTCTTCCCAGTAGGTGTGGGCATGAGATCTGTCAGTGGTCTGCTGATCTGGCTGAAGTTCCGTATAAAACGGCGATAATACCCAACGAATCCCAGGAATCGTCGTACATCCTCTGGTGATGTAGGAGTTGGCCATGTGGTGACTTTATCGGTCTTTGCAGGGTCGATCTCTACTCCAGATTCAGAAACAATGTGGCCGACAAACTTTACCTTCCTCTTGAAGAATGAACACTTCTTCGGTGCTAACTTCAGATGTGCTTGTCGTATCCGCTCTAATACTAGTTCCAGGTTGCGTAGATGTTCTTCATATGTCTTGCCAAATACAATGATGTCATCTATGAATACGCAGCAGATCCTAAGGTGATACTCTGCTAAGCAGTTCTCCATCAATCGTTGATAGGTGGCTGGACTGTTGGTAAGTCCGAAAGGCATCCTGTTATACTCGTAGAAGCCTAATGGTCCAACGGTGAATGCTGTGCGTTCCTTGTGTGGCTCATATATACCTACCTGATAATAACCAGACTTCATGTCCATGGTACTAAAGAACGTACTCCCTCCAAGACAATCTAGAAGCTCCTCGATTCTCGGCAAGCTGTAACTATCCTTTTTGCTGATGTTATTAAGCTGACGGTAATCAACACATAGTCTCAGGCTGTTGTCTTTCTTCCTCACCAATACCACATTGGATGCAAATGGACTGTGTGATGGCCTGATAATCCCAGCATCAAGTAACTGTCGAAGGTGAGCTCTAACTTCGTCGTAGGCTGAAGGTGGTATACTCCTATATCTCTGTTTAAAGGGTTTGTCATCTATCAGATCTATGCGGTGCTGCACAATATCTGTATGGCCAACATCATCGTCTTTCTTCGAAAATAGGTCCAAATATAAAGTAACAAGTTGAAATCCTTGGTCATACTGATCATCTGTTAAGTTGCTCTTGGTAAATTCTATCTGATCCATGATGTCAACTATCTCTTTCTCTGATGGCTCATCATGTTGGTATTCAAGTGATACGGGTTGAAGTTCACAGATGATAGCTTTTGGTGGAATGTTGATGGTTCTTGTGGTTACATTGGATATCTTGATGGTTATTGGTCCGTTCTGTTTATGTTGGTAGTTGACAAGTCCTGGCTCAATATCAAAATCCTTAAAGTCCTTTGCCAATACAGAAGAATGTGTCATAGCTGTTGTACGATAGTATGGTATCTCCTTATCCAAATATCAAGTCAATGAGATGTAAGAGTTAGGTGGTACAGTGATACTCTTGACTTCTGCGCTCTTGATGATTCCTAATCTGTTGTTGTTCTGCTTGTGTCCAGGTATTTCCAAATCAACCTCTGTATATCCAAGATATGGTAACTGCTGACCATCAGCGCATTCAATGTCCAGTAATGTATCCAAGTTCTTCAAAGGTATTGATATATGTTCCCGAAAGAAGCTGTTGCTTATGGTGGAAACGGTTGAGCCAGTGTCTAGAAGTGTTGATGTTTCCTTTCCGTTAAGAAAAATCTGTGTTTCAGTTGGTGTTCCAAAAAGTCCTGCTGGCGTCTTAACTCTGTTGCTTCTGGGAACTTGTTGTCTTGCAATACCTATGGATGTTCCCCCTTAACTCTGTTGCTTCTGGGAACTTGTTGTCTTGCAATACCTATGGATGTTCCCCCTTCATAGGTTGCTGCCAGTTTAAATTCTTCCTACTGTGGTCTAACCTCACATTGCAGTCTGCCTTCCTGTGTCCAAACTGTCCACATCTCCAACACGCAAACTGATCTCTGTTGTTCCTTTGTGGTTGTTGTCTTGTGTTGTACTGATTTCTGTTCTGCCCTTGTCCATAGTTCTTTCCTCTACCTCTCTGTTGTGGTTGACCATTCCATGGTTGTTGTTGTTGCCAAGGTGGTATCTGTTGTTGCCATTGTTGTTGCTGATATTCTTGTTGTTGTTGCCATGGAGGTGTCTGTTGTTTGTTTGCCTCATAAGTGTCCATCCTGTTAACCAGTTGATGTATCATTCCTTTGAGTTCCTCAAATTCTGATGGTGTTTCCTTAACTTCAGTTGCTGCCTTGCTGGTGTGTGGCTTAGATGAAGTTGATGACTCCCTCAGTAAATGATCACCCTCTATCTGGCGTATGGCTACTCTAAGTGCATCAAAGGTCTTGATGGTATCATACTTGTGGCCGGATATGTCTTTTAAAGATGTCCTAAGTCCAGTCCAAAGCATAGATCGTAGCATCTCATCAATGTCCTTGGGTTGTACTAATCCTCTTTCTTTGGCTTTCCCAAGTATGCTCTCTAGTCTACAACTCCAGGTAGTAACGCTCTCATCTGTTCCTTGACGTGCGCTGTAAAATTCTGCCAATAATTCCTCCTTCTTCTCCACACTACCATAAACACTGTCTAGCTTCTGTAGTATCTCTTGAACTGAAGCATCTAAATCCAATCTCATGGCAACCATTCCAGCTTCTCCACGTAAAGATCTTCTTACGGTGTTGAGTATGGCATCTTTGTCATAGTTCTGCTTCATAAGGACTCTCACCTCATGCCTCCATACCTCAAATGTAACATCTCCAGCTTTGATTTCAGTTCCTGAAAACCATGCTATCTTCGGTGGATGATTAATAACTGTCTTGGTAACTTCTGGTTTTGATGGTATAGGTGGTGGTTGTAAATCAATTTTGGCCTCTGGTTCCTCCTTTATCTTTCCTTTCATCTTCAAAAATCCCATCATCCAATCAGTAAGTTCCTCTGGTGTATCTGCCTTGGGTTTAACTCCCATCTTTGCAAATGCATCCATCATCTTCTTAATGTCAGGATCTATCTCCAATGATGGACTCTTCGGTTGATGAGTGATGACCTCATCTCCTCCTGTAGCCATGTTGTAAGTATGTGTGTATCCGACTTACCTGATTACAGTAATAAGTGTAAGTACTAATAAATGTAAAATCAAAATATGCAGTACCCAAAAAAATAAAGTACAAAATCAAATGCAAAGTATGCAATACAATGTATACTCACCAAATAATAATGTAAATACTCAGCAATGTATACTTCCTATAAAAGGGTTGGGCAGAAATGTGAAACTTTTATGCTCACACCTCTAAATCAAGGACACAATAATATCTGAACTCAGTGTCAAAGCTAGATAATCTGTAAAGTCACTAAGTCAATGTTTACTAGTGTCAACTCAAGTACCGAACTACCAAACTATGAAAGAACTAACTCAAAGTACAGCTACACTGAAAGATCAAAGTAAGTATATCACAGGTAGGTTAACATGCAATAAGGAAAGGATGTAATGTGTGTATTAGCAGGTTATTGTTAGATACAGGATTTCATGCACATGCACCTTACATAGGGTAAAACACTACTATTATTCTGTAAATGTTTACGTAAATTTTATGTTCCTAATTAAATAAGTTTAAATTTTTTTTAAGAGTACAAATCACATATAACACCAATAAACACAATATGCTGTACACAAAAATCAAAACACAATGACACTACATGTACATAAACATAAAGTAATACAAGTCACATAACATTTCACACATGTATGCAATAACTCATAAAGTAAACATATGTACCTTATCATCCGAATGTGAATATGAGAAAGAAAAAAAAAAAATTTGAAAAAAAAAAAAAATTCACAAAGTCCTATGTGTATGTACCTAAGAGAGAGGGAAAAAAAATTCAGGATCAATTATCCAAAATCAAAGTGTATGTGTATGTATAATCTATTTCAATACATGTACTTCCGGTTGACCTTGACCTTGTTTACTTTTTTTAGGGGGGGGGGGGGGGGGGGGGGTAAGTAGGTCAAGTATCAAAGAGAAAAAAAAAATTTATCTAAGTCTCTGAAAAAAAATACCTATATTCAATCAACCTAAGTTCACAAAGTATGTCTCACTGTAAGCAACAACCACTATACATCCAAGGCATAAGTTTTCAGTCTATGTACTATACAACTTTCAATGCATAAATATGTACCACAATATTTTTTTTTTAACAACACAAATCTGCTCTCAAATTCTAGTTTCAGTATAAAATTATCGCAAATTACTCTTGCGGTTATATAATGTAATGTAATATACACAAATTCAATTCATATAAACATATTAATTCAACTTACAATATCAGTATAAATCAAGAAAAGTTGTTTCAGAATTCCAATCACATGTCGATTTCTGTTTACCTTTTCTTCGTTCATATGAACCGGACGTTGGCCAATAACTAGGTCGGGTGCGTTCGAACAACTTTCACCGTACGGTTTCTTCAATCCAAGAATTCCAATCGTAGATATATCAACGTTGTCACAGAAATAACTCTTCGTGGGCGCCAAATTATGTAGTAGCACTTTCTAGGGCTAATAAAACAATACTTTCTTCTGAGGTGGATTCGTTTTATTTCTTGACAAAATCAGGATAATAACAATAACTAAATAAAAATACCCTACAAAATAAATACAATAGTAAGATTCTGACCGTTTATCGAATAAATAATCTGGTACATAGGTTTCTATCCATGTAATATGATAAACAAATGTTTTACTATTAGAAATATAAATAAATCTGTTCTGCATGTATTTACAACAATATGCTTATATTGTTGAGCGTATCTGACAAAGTCTAGTCCATATGCACTTAACGACTCATATTATATAAACAAGTCTAATATACGAAAAATGACAAAAGTGGTTAATGCAAACTTTAACATAAGCAAATTAACAAAACTAAAAGCAAAAGCTGCATGCTGTATAAATGCCGTAAGCATAAAATAGCAACAAACAAAAATACGAACATTACAAAAATAACACTTAGCTTACCTCGCATGAGGTGCAAAGGCCTCCTGAATTATCTAATTGGAATTTAATCACATCTTCCCAGGATTACTTAAAATATACCTGTATAACAAATAAACAAATTGTAATCCATGTTTTACTGTAATAATCCACCTGTTTACGATATGTACTCTTAGTTAAAATAATCAATCAATACCACATAACTTTTATTACGTTTATATCTTTACCTTTAAAAGTATTTAAAGCATTCGTACCGGAACACTCGAATTCTCATACAGTGTGTATTAAATTAATTCTTTACCAAATTAGTTAAAAGTACTTTATTTATGAAAATATGAAAATAACGTCTCTTATACCATTTAATCAAACAGATAATACTTTACTGTACTTTATCTATTTTATATCATTTTGAAGCATTCATCTCGCATTCAACATTTACGCATCGGCCTTTCATTCTAAATATTCATTCTAGGTAAAATAATAAATATCTGGACTATTAACGTATAATTAGTAATAGAGAAAGATAACTGACCTGTATATAGAATATAGAACACTAAGAAAGAATGTTACTCAAACTTAGAATTATATCAAACACATATGTCTATGTCCACCATTATATCAAAAAGTGATAACCAGTATATAGAACAAAAGAAATATAGCGCCAAAACATAATAACCAATAGAAATAAAGAAAGTGTGCGGTCCAATGAACCATGAAAAGAAAGCCTTTGAGGTGAACACAGGTCTAGTCGGGTTTACTACAATTGGTACTCCCCGGTTACCAATAAACCCTGCAATTACTGATGGTGACTGAGGTGAAGGAGGTGTAGGAGGTTGCAGTGACTGGGAGGCAGATTGACATTCAGGAGCTGACTCAAACAAATCCTGGGATCCTGTACATGCCATTTCGGAATCTTCTGGCAATGTAGCTTCAGTTGCACCAGCTGAAACAAAGACAAAATAGCTCTTAAATTTAATGTTGTAAGCCAATTAATACGCAAAAGGTTTAGTTTTAAAAATACGATATGGGTATAAACATTTTAAGATTTAGATCACAGACACGTTATGGAGTAGATCCCCCTTTTTTGTTGTTGTCGGAAATGTTCTTTCATATTTTCATATTTTCAATTTATTTTAACTACTTTTTCTATTTATTTGTTATATTCAATATTTTATCAATTGGTTTGAACAGTAGTTATATGAGGGGACAACACATATAAAGTGAAATATAGTTGAGTTATTGTTTCGCCATGTCACGGGTTGTATATGCTGCAATTTAAAAAAAAAAGAAAAAAAAACTTTTGATAACCCTCATTATAAATAGAGGTAAACCTTCATGTTGATTCCCTTAAAAACATCTTGTAAGAAAGTGTTAATTAGGACAAAGATATCATGATGTTTTTTTTGGAAAGTTGTAAAATTCTAGCAATACGGGATATAGGGACGAATATTTGTATGGTACGATCTTCAATCGGGCCGAGATTACTTAATTTAAAAGGGCGCCAACAACAAATTGAGGAGAGCACTTGTTCTTTATTCTCGCACATCAGCATGGAACAGTGATGTAGATTCATAAGAAATGATAGGGTTAAAACCTTTTCTTTATTCGCATATTGACAGGGTAAACGCAAATACGATTGAATAACATTTCAAGAAGGTATAATTATATTTCCTAACATGCGGAATTTGTAATGTTTACATTGTCACTGATTGTGAGGGCAAGGTCAATATTTAGTACATTTAAGTGCAAAAACATCGAATGCGATGCAGACGATTTGATCATTTTAGAAATAAATATTGGTTAAATACCTTTCAAAAATATGAATAACTATGAAAATATCCTTGTATAGAAAGTATTTGAGTGACAATTTAGCACATGAACAAGGAAAAACTTTATTTCAACAGTTTCTAAACGATAATTTGGGTGCATAGTGATACCGGCGTACATAAATTTTTGCTTCTACATCGATGTTATTCCTTCAACTAGAGTACATTTGATAGCACAACTTCATAGAAGTTTCCAAAGGTGTACAGAAACTTTAAATTGATAAGAGAAAATATTACTTACCAATAATGCAGCTTTCTACACCTCCTATGCCCTTGAAGGAAGCAGAGTCCTTCCACAGGTCTATTGTTCTATTTATTGCCACACTCAATGGTTTAGCCTGAGGTCCACCACCAGTTTTTACATGGTCTCTCTTCTTCACTGAGAACATCTTCTTTGCCTCTTTCTTGGTGTTGCCCCACTTGTCTTTACACTCCTTGGCGGACCTATGGGCAACACCAAGAGAAGACACCATCATGGAAATTTTTGCCCAGACTGCTGTTTTCCTTTTATTGCTGACTGCGCTACCGAATTTGTCATTAATGACTGCAAAATTCTTCTCGACTTCATCTTGAAGGACACTGATCTCAGCCTCTGAGAAATTAGGCTTTCTTTCCCTTGTTTTTTTTACATTAGACTGATTACATGGATTAGCAGAAGGTAAGTCGGCCATATTTTTTTATGGAGGAAGTTCAGAAAATCTGAATTATGGGTAACTTGAATAGCCTCTAAACCATAGTTAAAATTTAACGACAGGTTAAGATATGTTAACGGTCACGATAGCTAACGCTACCGTTAAATCAACTTGAACAACAGTTTTTTAACCTTCCGTTAAGTAACACCACGTTAAACTTTTTAACGACACGTTAAGGCTAACGCTACCGTTAAGTTAACGACAAGTTGAACAACCGGCCCCAGAACGTTGTGATTGCTTAAAAACGTCCTCGCAACGGAAATTTAACCAATGACGTGATGTTATTTTCATTTTACTAACCACTTTCAGCTACCTCGCCTACTGCTTTAATGGATACAGGATCTTCGTCATACACCAAACATGCCAACTGTACAGTGTAAATACCGGAATCCAGTAAAAATCCTCCTCTGATTTGTGTTTTAATCCGTTCACAATAGTTAAATTTTTTGAAGAATCTTGCCGACACCATCTGAGCTTCTCCTATGCTCTTGGAAGTAATTTCTTCTTTGATTCTGTGATACAGTGGGAAACAGCGACTCCATACCGCCTGTTGTCATTTATTTGTATTACATAAGAAACATTTAGTTATATAACTTATTTGTATTTCTACTGATTAAAGTGACGAGGGAGGGTTGTATACACACAAAACAATCTTTGTCACATTTTTGGTGCTTTTCAGGAAAGTTGTCATTGTTGGTAACTTTTCAGTCTTCTTTTTTTTTGGAAAAAGGGGGGAGGGGGGGGGGGGGGGGGGTCTGGGGGTGATTACTTGGAATTACTTTTAAGTATTCTTGTTATTTCGGCTTCAATCATTTATGTATTACTATATTTAAGGATTTAGTCAGGTGAAATTAAAAGAAATCTGGAATTTAAAATTGATACTATAAATCAGAAGAACATTAGTTAAGGAACAAAATAAGCTAAAAATATTGATAGGTTATGGAACACCTTTTTGAGATATTTGATTTAAAAAAAATAGCGGGAAAAGGCTGATTTGGGCTTTTACCTTATATTTAGCCTTGGCATTATTAGGATCTCAAATCGTAAGAAAAGAAATCTAGAATCTGCTTAAATTTTGGCAATGACCTTTTATGGGATATTGAAGTCTTCTATGAAAAGAAAAGTGGGTAATATGGGGCAATAAGTTATCAAAGGTACCAGGCTTATAATTTGATACGCCAGACGCGCGTTTCGACTACATGAGACTCATCAGAGACGCTCAGATCAAAATCGTTAGAAAGCCTAACAAGTATAAAGTTGGAAGAGCATTGAGGACCTAAAATTCCAAAAAGTTGTGCCAAATACGGCTAAGGTAATCTATGCTTGGGATAAGAAAATCCTTAGTATTTCGAATAATTTGTACAAAATATTTTACCCCAAAAAACAAAAAAAGGAGTCCGAACATCTGACAAAAATTCCTAAACCGGAAATGACTACATCCTTAACGTATGTGCTTGTTCTTGTGTACCAGTTTCATATTTGTGTCACGTTATTCATATATCCAAAAAACTTTTCATTTGAGCTTAATTTGTCATTGGACGTAATGACAATTAAATGGGGTGATACACTTAATGAAACCAAATTTCAATATGGGATACTTATGGAGTTTGTATTCTTATTTAAGAATTGGATGCTTCTTTTTGTAAATTTATTGGGGTGTAAAAGCGTTGACCGAACTACATTTTGTATGAAGCGCTTCCCTAAAATGTGCGCACAGTCAACGCTTTTACAACCCTATAAAATTACTAAAAGAAGCATTCAATACTTATAATTACATTTTTTTGCTAGGATCATGAAAACACGATTTCTATCAAGTTTTTCTTTTATTTACCTGTGCACTTTATTGTGGAAGCTCATATGTCATCATGAATGTTACATTTCATTTTGAAATGAAGGTTAATTTCAGAATGACGCGAGATTGCTGTTAGCCAATCAAAATAACGTATTATAATGAAACATACATATAATGTAATTATTTATCTATTGTATTATTATGCCACATGCAGTGTATTGTGTACTAATTACATTACAAGTATGTTTCATAAGAAACGGTACTTTTGGTTGGCTGACAACAATTCCAAAATAAGATTTTATTTCCTAGTAAAATGTAACATTAATGACAACACGTGCTTCCCGTGACGACGTGACAACAATGCATAGGAAAACAAACGAAACATTTGATATAACTCGGAATTTCACGGTTGTAACATAAAAAATGTAATTATAAGAATTGAATGCTTCTTTTTTGTAATTTTATAGCGCTTCGGTCAACACATTTACACCGCAATAAAGTTACAAAAAACCTATTGAATTCTTAACTTTATATATATAAGTGTTGGATGCAGTTAAAATACGTGTGTCTACCTAGGAACTAATCCTTTTATCTAGATTGATCTATTTAATTGTTTTAATTTTCTCGTTTGATTTGTTTTACATTTGTCATTTCGGGGACTTTTATAGCTTGCTATGTAGAATGGGTTTTCCTCATTGTTAATGGCCGTAAGGTAACCTATAGTTGCTAACTTCTACGTCATTTTGTCTCTGGTGGAGAGTTTTTTAATTAACTATCATACTGCATTTTTTTATTTTTAAGACCGTACAAAACAATGTTAACTATAACTAATTGAGACTCAAATTATATATATTCTACATACCTCCATAAAAAAGAGATGTTTCTATTGGGCTAGATTATAAACCAGTTTGACATCTTCAAGTGTATCTGCTAATGGTTTCTCACAGAGAACATGCTTTCCTGCCTTCAGTATTTGAATACTCAACCTGACGTGTTCAGTGTGTGCACTTCCGATGTATACTATTTCTAAAAAGGAAAAGCATTTTTTGAATTTTATCATTTTGTGTGACTATTTCGGTGATAGTTGCTTAGCAACACAAACAATAAGAACGACAACAACAGCACCTCATCATTTAAGAGTGGATTAAATAGACATAGCAGATATTATTAAATTGACTACAAGCAAAAAAAGTATATGCTCAATACACGATGTACCATAAAAGTGAAATGGAGAATACCAAAGGGATATTAAAACTCATAAGTCGAAAATAAACTGACATCTCCATGGCGAAAAAACGAAAAACAACCAAAAACACAAACAACAGTATACAAAACACAACATAGAAAACTAAAGACTGGGCTATCAGAACCCCACGAAAAACGGGGTGATCTCGGGTGCTCCGTAAGAGTAAGCAGTTCCTGCTCCACATGTGGCATGTGTAACTGAGAGATGTACAGAAAGATCTGTTTCAGATTGGAAATATACCCTTTGAAACAAACTAAGGTGCCTTGTGATACTTACAGATATTAGTTACTTTGAGTTATATTTCAAATTCGGCAACACAGATTTGCACTAAGGTAGCAACGGTAAAACTTTACATCCAACCTTAGTTTGCAGTATGTTTGGTTGATTAATTGATTGATTGGTGTTTAACGCCACTTTCAGCACTATTGTGCTATTTCGTGGCGGTCAGGTTATATTGGAGGAGGAAGTGTCCGGAGAGAACCACCGACCGTTGGTAGGGAAACTGACAATCCTAGTTGCTTACTTCTACGTCATTTTGTCTCTGGTGGAGAGTTTTTCATACTGCAATTTTTTATTTTTAAGACCGTACAAAACAATGTTATCTATAACTAATTGAGACTCAATTTATATATATTCTACATACCTCCATAAAAAAGAGATGTTTCTCTTGGGCTAGATTATGAAGGAGTCGAACGCACGTGCGGTATAAAAAAATATACATTTGGAGAACCTTTCGGACAATTGAAACTCAATAACACGGACGATTTTTTGTGAGGTATTTACCTTGTATTGTAACTTTTGTGTTGATCGGTAGTACAATATAACCGCCGAATGACCAAAACCTGTAACTAATGATAGTTGAACAGAATAAATAACAAGATTGTGATATCATACCTTACGAACTGAAAATTCTGATATCATACCTTACGAACTGAAAATTGTGATATCATAACTTACGAACTGAAAATTGTGATATCATAACTTACGAACTGAAAATTGTGATGTTTTCCAGTAGAAACTCAGACAAAGGTCGCATAGTATCACCGGTATTGCATGTGCATTTGTGGTTAAAAAGTTATATTTTTTTACATCCCATTATCTTACTTAACTTTCAACAAGTAATTATGGAAACTACACACCGATTGTTATTCAGAATTGAATTGGAAATGCAATACTTTAAATGAAACAAACAACTACAATTCAAAACGAAGCTCACTACTGATAGATAAGTTTCATATGTAATACTAGATATTTCTTTGTGGGTTACAGAATTTTATTTAGATTTCTATTGCGAAGGATGAACTATCGCTGCAACAACCCTTAAAAAGGAGTGGTTGATTGATTGGTGATTGGTTGCTTATAACGTCCAGTGTCAAATATTTCATGCATGTTCAGGACGAACAACGTTAACAGGAGTGAAACATTCAAACAAATGCATTACTGTAAATTCAGAAATTATTGCGTATATTTATTATTGCGATTTTTCAAGGATGGACAAAAATGCGAGATTAATTATTGCGATATCATGAAAATCTGCATACAGATATATGTAACAGACAACAGAATGCGAGTTCTTATTATTGCGATAGTCACCCAGTCGCATTATTCGCATTAATAAAAACCTTGCAATAATTTCTGAATTTACAGTACCAATTTCCGGATCTGCTGCAAACTGTTCATATGAACTGTAGGTTTTTGGAATGTAAAATGTAGTCGCGAACTTCTGTGCAGTGTCTAGAGATCATGAAACAACAGCAACTTTCTAAAGAAAAACGAAAAATTCAGGTGTACATATTTTCACTATTTATAGGTATTTCTTTTGCTCTATTGTTGGTGATATGCACTTCATAAATACAGAAAAAAGATAAATTACTGCAAATACAATAACCGATGTCAAACAAAATGTGTCAGGAATTTAATTACCTCCCTTTTTTACGCTGATGTCGACTAATAGGAACTCAGTTTAACTAATGGATTAATATGCATTAGAAACTACGAAAAATGTAGAAAATTTCGAAGCTTGATAATGAATAAAGTACGTGACCCAAGTTTAAAGTTGCGGCAATATATAAATACACAAAACGCAACAAACTCTGATGCGTGGGGCTATCTTCATGATAATACTATACAAGTTAAACAAGAGAAAGAAATCAATGAATCGATTAGTATACGATATTTTTCATTAAAAAAGTCGCAAATGCAAAACTTCTTTAAAAAGAAATGATTACAATAAAACTCATAAAAATAACGGTAACATGTCTAACCTGATGGCCCTCTGATGGTAGGGTTTTTAATGCTGAACAAAAATCGCTGCAGATTTTTCCAATACTGCATATCCCCCATTTTAGAACCATTGGAATTATTTCTGTAAAATAAGAAGAGAAACATACAGGTTCATATAATAGGCAATGGCAATATATGATATCCCGTCTTTGATGCACATCATGCATTCGATATATACACGAGATATATTCAAACTCGTATTAACAACACACATGTATGGTGGCTGGTATTGTATAAGGCCAATGCATTTAGAAAATAAAACAGTAACTTAACTCAATATTATATTTTTAACCTTTTTATAAAAAAAAATACCGAAACATAAAGCGAGTGTACAAAAAGGGGAATGATTTACCCATACATGCAAATCAAATATACACAAAGAGTGGAACTTTCACCTCAAATTAATGCATATTCATGATTTGTCGATATGAATAGGTGCTTTGCTAACTTTGTACTAGACCGACACGCTGAGTCGAACTTTTTCCGAGATAGTTCACAAAAAAGCAGTCCGCAAAATGACATGTCACCCTATCGGACATATTCTAACTAAGAGCCGACCATTATTTGTTATAACTCCCTAACGCCGCGTTGTAAGTGAAAAGGCAATAAATACCAATAATGAATTCCTTTGGAATTACGCGGGCGGATTTGAACCCATGACCTACCGCACTGGAGACGAGAACGCTACCAAGTGACCATCGAGGCGGTTTCTATCTTCATGACAATAAACAGTTTTAATAAGTGAAATAAATCACTGCATCTAAAAGGATACGAAATTGTCTACCTTAAACAGTTTATCTTCAATTCTCAAAGTGCGAGGCTTACCGAGGGTTTAATCTATGTTTTTTTAATTTTATAATCGGGCATGGAAACTATCTAATTGCAAGGGTTACATGTTCCTTAAAAGTTTTATCTGAGGACGTCATGAACCAAAACAAAATTAATTTGTACCCGAAAGACAATGCACAATTGTGATATAACTTCGGTTTTAATAGTAAGGATCTTCCCATAACTTTTTAATACATACTCGAAAATCACCAACATCTCTCAAAACTGCAATATTTGTCATATTATTTAGATTAAGCAATATCTATTTAGATCAATCATCACATAACAGTATAATACACCTGCAATAGATATATAGGATTCAGAAACAAGTAAAGTTGTCTCCCATACATTTGTCCTTGAAAATAGGCTATAGGTTCACACATACATGATAATGATGTTATAAGATAAAAAGAAAAAAAAAACACACACACACACACACACACACACACACACACATATGTAACCGCCGTACTTTAAATTTTAATAACCGGTATGGAATAAATTCAGTCAATGGGTCCTTCCTACTTCGTCGTGTCATTTCATGGAAACAAAATAATATTTAGGATCCACACATCAAAGTAAACTCTAAAGATTACAAGTGTATTTTTACTCACAAATCAGTGGTCTAGCTTTTTCACCTGTTCTATATATTTATCTTGTTTCTATATTGGTGTTATCTTATAAGTAACACACAAGTATCTATATATAGTTTAATAAATCTAATATAGAATTCAGCGTTACTGAACTATATCCAACAGTTTTCAACAAAATAATGAACCCTTATCGTACCCTAACGCCATAAAAAAATGAATGCTGCAGAAAATTAACCCTGATCTGTGTTGGATAGCAAGCATTTCCTATACATATTGTCTCATCAGAAATTAACTAATATGTGTCACATTTTCATGCTTCGTAATGTATTTTGATAAAGATGCAAAATTGAGATGGAATTTAGTGATTCATATAAGGTTAATATCGTACCATGCAGACTTTATTTATCCTGTTGTACGAAAATATTCACAATTCTATAAAGCATTTCTGTGTAGTGCAAGATACTTTTTATTCTCAATATACTGAAAAATTGGGTTTCTTAATAACCTCCTGTTCATATAACCATGAGACTATTCTTACAAATAGTTGCAAATTGGCTACGATATATGGGTGTATGATGTACATTTCAAGTGAGGTCCAATTGTGAAATTCCCATTTTCAGTAAATTAATCAAACTTCATCAGCTACAAAGGTTTGTTGTTTTGAAGTGAAATAAAATGTAACATTTTCAACATTCAACATTCGATTTCAACATTCAACATTCAAAATTTTTTTTTTTAAACTTTTTTTTCAATTTTTTTTTTTTTTTTCAACTTTCGTTTTTCAACATTCACCATTCGTTTTGAACATTTAACATTCGTTTTCAATATTCAACATTCGTTTTCAACATTCGATTTTCAATATTCAACATTCGATTTTCAACATTTAGCATTCGTTTTCAATATTCAACATTCGTTTTCAACATTCAACATTCGTTCTCAACATTCAACATTCGATTTTCAACTTTCAACATTCGTTTTCAACATTCAACATTCGTTTTCAATATTCAACATTCGTTTTCAACATTCGATTTTCAATATTCAACATTCGTTTTCAACATTCAACATTCGTTTTCAACATTCGATTTTCAATATTCAACATTCGTTTTCAACATTCAACATTCGTTTTCAACATTCGATTTTCAATAATCAACATTCGTTTTCAACATTCAACATTCGTTTTCAACATTCAACATTCAACATTCGTTTTCAACATTCAACATTCATTTTCAACATTCGATTTCAACTTTCAACATTCGTTTTCAACATTCAACATTCGTTTTCAACATTCGATTTTCAATATTCAACATTCGTTTTCAACATACAACATTCGTTTTCAACATTCGTTTTCAACATTGAACATTCGTTTTCAACATTCGATTTTCAACTTTCAACATTAGTTCTCAACATTCAACATTCGTTTTCAACATTCAATTTTCAATATTCAACATTCGTTTACAACATTCAACATTCGTTTTCAACATTCGATTTTCAACTTTCAACATTCGTTTTCAACATTCAACATTCGTTTTCAATATTCAACATTCAATTTTCAACATTTAACATTCGTTTTCAATATTCAACATTCGTTTTCAACATTCAACATTCGTTTTCAACATTCAACATTCGTTTTCAACATTCAGCATTCGTTTTCAATATTCAACATTCGTTTTCAACATTCGATTTTCAATATTCAACATTCGTTTTCAACATTCAACATTCGTTTTCAACATTCGATTTTCAATATTCAACATTCGTTTTCAACATTCAACATTCGTTTTCAACATTCGATTTTCAATATTCAACATTCGTTTTCAACATTCAACATTCGTTTTCAACATTCAACATTCAACATTCGTTTTCCACATTCAACATTCATTTTCAACATTCGATTTCAACTTTCAACATTTGTTTTCAACATTCAACATTCGTTTTCAACATTCGATTTTCAATATTCAACATTCGTTTTCAACATTCAACATTCGTTTTTAACATTCGTTTTCAACATTGAACATTCGTTTTCAACATTCGATTTTCAATATTCAACATTCGTTTTCAACATTCAACATTCGTTTTCAACATTCAACATTCGTTTTCAACATTCGATTTTCAATATTTAACATTCGTTTTCAACATTCAACATTCGTTTTCAACATTCGATTTTCAATATTCAACATTCGTTTTCAACATTCAACATTCGTTTTCAACATTCAACATTCGTTTTCAACTTTCAACATTCGTTTTCAACATTCAACATTCGTTTTCAACATTCGATTTTCAACTTTCAACATTCGTTTTCAACATTCAACATTCGTTTCCAAAATTCAACATTCGTTTTCAACTTTCGTTTTTCAACATTCAACATTCGTTTTCAACGTTTAACATTCGTTTTCAATATTCAACATTCGTTTTCAACATTCAACATTCGATTTTCAACTTTCAACATTCGTTTTCAACATTCAACATTCGTTTTCAACATTCAACATTCGTTTTCAACATTCGAATTTCAACATTCAACAATCGTTTTCAACATTCAACATTCATTTTCAACATTCAATTTTCAATATTCAACATTCGTTTTCAACATTCAACATTCGTTTTCGATATTCGATTTTTAATATTCAACATTCGTTTTCAACATTCAACATTCATTTTCAACATTCGATTTTAACTTTCAACATTCGTTTTCAACATTCAACATTCGTTTTCAACATTCGATTTTCAACTTTCAACATTCGTTTTCAACATTCAACATTCGTTTCCAACATTCAACATTCGTTTTCAACATTCGAATTTCAATATTCAACATTCGTTTTCAACATTCAACGTTCGTTTTCAACATTCAACATTCGTTTTCAACATTCAACATTCGTTTTCAACATTCGATTTTCAACTTTCAACATTCGTTTTCAACATTCAACATTCGTTTTCAACATTCAACATTTCTTTTCAACATTCGATTTTCAATATTCAACATTCGTTTTCAACATTCAACATTCGATTTCAACATTCAACATTCAAAATGGATTTTTTTGTTAAACTTTTTTTTCATTTTTTTTTTTTAAACTTTCGTTTTTCAACATTCAACATTCGTTTTCAACGTTTAACATTCGTTTTCAATATTCAACATTCGTTTTCAACATTCAACATTCGATTTTCAACTTTCAACATTCGTTTTCAACATTCAACATTCGTTTTCAACATTCAACATTCGTTTTCAACATTCGAATTTCAACATTCAACATTCGTTTTCAACATTCAACATTCATTTTCAACATTCGATTTTCAATATTCAACATTCGTTTTCAACATTCAACATTCGTTTTCGATATTCGATTTTTAATATTCAACATTCGTTTTCAACATTCAACATTCGTTTTCAACATTCGAATTTCAACATTCAACATTCGTTTTCAACATTCAACATTCATTTTCAACATTCGATTTTCAATATTCAACATTCGTTTTCAACATTCAACATTCGTTTTCGATATTCGATTTTTAATATTCAACATTCGTTTTCAACATTCAACATTCGTTTTCAACATTCAACATTCGTTTTCAACATTTGAATTTCAACATTCAACATTCGTTTTCAACATTCAACATTCATTTTCAACATTCGATTTTCAATATTCAAAATTCGTTTTCAA